CACGGGTCTACCATGCCGATTCTGCTGGACCACTGCAGAGCAGCATTTATTCTCAGAAATACACTGCACTTAATATCCAGACTCTGAGAGTAGAAACCTTAACATGAATGGAATTTAAAACAGTATTTCTAAAATAGGGGATTTGAAAAGTAGTATAACCTAAAATACATGATAAGTAAGAAAGTGATGCTCAGATTTTTTTTTTTCCCACTAGAAATTGGGATAGGGAATTATGTCAAGCACAAAAAAACATAAAATAGGGGAAAAGGCATGTTTTCTTTTAATATGGAAAAGGGACAAGAAGGAAGGCTCTCTAGATCAGGAATCAAAAACCTGTACTCTGGTTCTACGTCAGTCTTACTAGAATAGTGGGCACAGTGGCAATTACTGTAACTTCTCTAGGCCTCAGTTTTTTTCAACTGTTAAGAGTTTAGTCAATCTCTTTAAGTACTCCCAAGTTCTCTTTCAGTTAATGTTCTGAGTCTAATTTAATTACAGTGAATATAAAACTTGTTTAGGAAGTGGTACTAAAGGCCTTTAAGAAATGAGTAGAACCTACTTGGGAGGCTGAGGCAAGAGAATTGCCTAAACCCAGGAGGTGGAGTTTGCTGTGAGCTGTAATGCCATGGCACTGTGAGCTGTAATGCCAAGGGCAATAAAGTGAGACTCTGTCTCTAAAAAAATAAATAAAAGAAGTCAAAATTCAAAAAAAAAAGGAAAAAAAAAGAAATGAGTAGAACACATCAGAATATTTATAACAACCGAAAAGAGAAATGGAAGAATTAAGGATAAAGTTGGCTCGGCACCTGTAGCATGGTGGTTACAGCACCAGCCACATACACAGAGGGTGGAGGGTTCAAACCTGGCCCAGGCCAGCTAAACAACAATGACAACTGCAACAAAAAATAGCCAGGCGTTGTGGCAGGCACCTGTAGTCCCAGCTACTTGGGAGGCTGAGGCAACAGCATCGCTTAAGCCGGAGAGTTTGAAGTTGCTGTGAGCTGTGATGCCAC